CCCCCCGGTTCCTGCTCCTCCCAGCCCCCACTCCCCCCAGTGCCCGGTCCCCCCAGCCCCTGTTCCCCCCAGTTCCTGCTCCCCCCAGTGCCCGGTCCCCCCAGCCCCCGGTCCCCCCAGCGCCCGGTCTCCCCGGTTCCCGCTCCTGCCAGCCCCTGTTCCCCCCAGTTCCTACTCCCGCCAGCGCCTGGTCCCTGCGGTTCCCGCTCCCCTCAGCCCCCAGTCCTCCTGGTTACTGCTCCCCCCAGTCCCCGCTCCCGTCAGCGGCCGGTCCCCCCGGTTCCTGCTCCCCCCCGGTTCCCGCTCCCCCCAGCCCCTGGTCCCCCTGGTTCCCACTCCCCCCAGCGCCTGGTCCTTACCGCTGGGCCCGGGGCTCCCGGCGGCCCATCGAATCGCCGGCCCTAGGAGGAGAACCACCAGTTAGGGCAGCGCGTCCCGACCCCCGACTGGGGATCCAGCCCCTCACGCAGCCCCAGCGCCCGGCAGGATCAAACCCACGGTCCCCGGAGCTGGGCAAGCCCCCAGTCCCCTGTTGCCCCACCCAGCTCCCCAGGGCCGGTCAGCTGGACGGGACCCATGGGGGGCCTCACGGGATGGGCTGAGCCCCCCACGGCCTGGTTCCCTTTGGCCAGGGAGCCCTGCATCTCCCGACCTAGCCAGGGGCCAGTCCCATCCCCCGGCCCGGCGGGCTTGGCTGGTTCCCCCAGGACGACGCTGCCCCAGGCCGTAGCACCACTGGCCGCGCTGGTACTCACGGGATCGATGACGCCCGGCTCCCCCTTCTCCCCCTTCTGGCCGGCTCCCTGCAAGGGACGCACGGAGCAGGTGACACCAGCGGCAAACAGCCCCAGCCCCCCACGCCCGGCCACTGCAAACCCCCCCCGACCGGCCTCCCAAGCCTGCACCACAGGCCAGGCCTGCCCTCGCCACCCTCCTGCCCCCGCCCGCAGGCCTGGTTCTGGGGCTAGCGACTGATTACGAGAGGCCCCAAGGAGAAGCCCAGATGACCGGTGCTCCGTCCCCCGATTCCCGCCTGCTCCCCGGCACCCAGTCTCCACCAGTGCCCTGTGCCCACCGGCACCCCATCCCCCCGGTACCCTGTCCCCCCGGCGTCCGTCCCCCCCATTCCTGCCCACTCCCCGTCTCCACCAGTGCCCTGTCTCCCCCTGTGCCTGTCCCCCCCATTCCCGCCAGCGCCCCATCCCGCTCATACCCGGGTGGCCTGTCCCAGGGTTCCCCGTCGCTCGGCAGAGCCGTAGCGCTCCAGGCTGGTGTCATGGCCCGGGGGCTCCCCGTCCTCGTACTCCTCATACTCCCTCAGGGCGTAGTCGGGGGGTTCGGTGCTGTTGGCCTCGGGGTCCCCATCCGCCCAGATCCTGTGCTCCTCTCCCAGATCCTGCAGACGAGGGTGGGAGCCGGGGTCACTGGCGTTTGCGGGGGGTGACAGCTGTGTGCCCCACTGCATCCCTCCAGCCCTCTCCCCCCAGCTGCCGTACCTCGTAGGCCTCGGGCAGGTTCAGGCTGATGGTCACAGTGCTGGCAGGGGCGGTCCCGGGCAGCGGGGTGACGTGCTCCTCCCCAGACGGGGTCGCCTCCAGAGCAGGGGCTGCTTGGGTCGGGGCCTCCTCAATGGGAGTGGAGAGAAAACGGGTCATTAGGGGAGAAAGGTCAGTGCCCAGGACGGCCCCACCCTGGGCATGGCACGCCGGGGGGAGGGACGGGCAGGGTGGCGGCAAGGGAGGCTGGCTGGGGGGCAGCTGGGGGGCAGCCAAGGGGGTAGCTGGGGGGCAGTGCGCTGGGGGGGCAGTGAGGGGGTGGCTGGGGGGCAGGGGCACCTCCTGCTGTGGGGAGCGTTGTACCCACCCAGGTGCCAGGGGGCCCTGTCCCAGCTCCCCCAGCACTGAGCCCTGCACTGACCCGGGCGCTGGCAGCGAGTGCCAGGTGCAGGATCCAACCGGGGGTTTGTCACCGACTCCCAGGTCCTGCCCACTCTTGGCCCCGTGTGGTCCTTGTGGGGGGGGAGCCCCTTTCAGTGAGACAGCCCTTCTCGGGGGTCCCCTCTCTCCCGGGGTCAGGCCCCTCCACCTCCTGGAGCCGCACCTCTCTGAGCCTTAGCACGTCTGTCTCTCGCCGTGGGCCCCCTCAGGGAGTCCCCTCGCTCTGCACCCCTGGGGCCTCCACCCCCTCTGCATGCAAACCCTTGGAAAGCCAGGAAACCCCCCACTTGCTCACAGGCCTGCAGCAGCCAACGGCTCCGGGAGCCAGGGAAGGAATCGCTCCCCCCCCCCCAACCTCCCAGCCAAGCGTGACTCACGGCGCCGCTCCTGCCCTGACCCACATCCGCCAGCTGCAGCCTTGGGCCCACTCCTGGGGGGGCCTCGCTCCCCGTCCCAGCCCTCAGCCCTCCCGTTCCCAGGGGCGCAGCTCAGACACTGCTCTGCCCAGAATGGTCCGAGGTCTGTGGAGAGAGTGACCCCCCCCATCCTCTGCCCCCCCCCACAACTACCCCAACCCAGACCCCAGCTCCCCGCCCCCCCAACCCTCCCAGCTAACTGAACCCAGCCCCCGGCTCCCTGCTCCCCCCACCCTCCCGGCTACCCCAACCCAGCCCCCAGCTCCCTGCTCCCCCCACCCTCCCGGCTACCCCAACCCAGCCCCCGGCTCCCCGGCCCTACCCCACCCCAGATTGGGAGCTGGGCTGCCCGTCTGGCTCTATCCCCAGCAGGTTTCTAGGGAAGCCAGGAGTGAGCCAGGCAGGATCCCCAGGCTGGTGATGGAGGGGGGGAGTGGGGGTGGGTCTGTCCCAGGACTCCCACGTTACCCCCTGGCGGAGTCTCCCCCTGCCCGGGGCTCGGCCCGAGTGCCGGTCCAGGGAGCACAAAGGCTGAGTCGTCCCCTGGAGGGTCTGGGCCTAGAGGTGGCCATGGGGCCTAGCGGGAGGGGCCTGGGCCGGAGGGGGAGATGGAGCGGGGGGGGGAGGTGGCTAAGGTGTTGGGGGTGTGTGGGGGGGGAACAGAGGGGGTGTGTAAGGAGGGGGTGAGGGGTGGATGGACGGACGCACGGAAGGACAGACGGATGGACAGATGGACACGCGGCTGGACGGACAGACGCACGGATGAATGGATGGATGGATGGACGGACGGACGGACGCACAGATGGACATGCAGATGGATGGACAGACACACGGATGGACAGACGGACGCACGGATGGACAGACAGATGGATGGACAGACACACGGATGGACAGACGGACACGCGGCTGGACGGACAGATGCACGGATGGATCTCTCTCCTCTCGCCCACCCCCCTCGCCACAGGCCGCGGCCTGGCTCTGGGTCTCCGGGGCGGGCGAGGGGGCACCGCGGGGAACAGGCCCTGGCACAGGGCTCCCCACAGGCCGCGGCCTGGCTCTGGGTCTCCGGGGCGGGCGAGGGGGCACCGCGGGGAACGGGCCCTGGCACAGGGCTCCCCACAGGCTGCGGTTTGCGCCCGGGAAGGGCCGCGCTGGGGGAGCCGCGGCTGCGGGGAGGCACCTGTGCGGCACTCGGCTGGGCGCTCCCGGCCCCGGGGCGGGGGCTGTGAACCAGCGGCTCCGCTGGGCCCGGGGGCGTGTGTGGGGTTCGGGACACGGGTGAGGCAGAGCTGGGTTAGCCGGCAGCAGGATTAGGCACAGGCAGTGGCGGGTTAGTCGCTCTCTCTACCTGGCCCGGCCCCGCGGTGGGTGCGGTGTCCTGCTGCTCCGCCTGCTCCTTGTTCCTCTTCTTCTTGCCTTTGCCCCTGCGTTTGCCCTTCCCTTTGCCCTTCCTGCCCTTCCGCCGGGCGGGGGCAGCCGTGGGCTCCGGCCCACTCTGCACGGGGCAGGACGGGGGCGACCGGAGAACGGGGGAGAGACAGAGAGGGGCATGAGAGAGCCGCAGGCTGGCGTGGGCAACCCCCGCGCTGGCCCTGGGGGGCGAGAGCCCAGGCGTCTGGGGGCTCCCAGGCTCTGGCACCGTCCGTCCCCGTCCGGCTACGCCCAAAGTGCTCTCCAGGGCCGGGCCCAGCGGGGAGTGCTGGGGGCAGGGGGCTCCCATGCCAAGACGGGCAAGGGGCAGCCCGTCTCACAGTGGCGCGAGCTGCGTGGGGCGGGGGACACACTGGGCGGCTCTGTCAGGGTGGGGTCGGCTGCCCCAGGGGCGTGTTCCCAGGCTCCGTCCGTGACTCATCCAAGCCCAGATGGAGACGCCCCCAGGCGCGGATGCAGGCTCCGGCCGTGCCAAGCCCAGCTGGGCATATCCTGGCAGCCGTGGGCGCACCTGGCCTCCTGGAGCTGGGCCGAGCCCACGGGGTGGGGGGCACCTACCTCCTCAGGGTACAGGCCCAGCAGGCCGTAAGGCAGTGGCACGTCGCACCCGGGCATGTAGGTCTCGCAGTAGTGCAGGGCTGCCTGGGGGTCCGGAGAGATCAGCAGCTGCTGGACATCGCCCTGGGGGCGGGGGGAAACGAAATGGGCTGAGCAGGGGCTGAGACACTGTGGGGTGAGCCCGCGGGGGGGGGCAATGTCCAAGCTCTCCCCTCCCCCCCAGCCCTCCTGGGCCCGGGCCAGCCCCGCGGCCGCAGCTGTGAGGAGCTGGCTGGGACCCGCGGGCAGGTGTTTCCGAGCTTGCAGCGTGACGGGGCTGGCGCGGGGCCCGGGCACTGCTGGAACCCGCATCCCCCAAGGCCTCGCTGTCGGCTCGTTAGCGCCTCGTCGTGGGGAGCAGGCGGGGGGCTGAGGACAGGGGAAGAGGGGTCGCAACGCCAGGGGGATGAGCACGGCCTGCCGGGCGGGGATCTGTGAGAACTGCAGGGGCGCGTGTAACCACCGCTGACCCCCCCCCACATACCCAGACACCCCCAGAGCCAAATGGGACCCACGCTCACCCCACCACCCCCCTCACCCCTGGCCACTGGCCCCACAGCCCCAGGGAGAGACACCCCTCAAACACAGCCCCCCAACCCCGCCCGGCTTCCACCACTCAGCTCCCCATGGAGCCGCCGGTCTCCGGGTGGGGCTCGGACGCAGCCCTTGGGCAGCGCACATTCCTGGTGGGGGCGTGGGAACTGGGACCAGATGGGCGGACGGGGGGCGCCCTGGGAACATTCCTCCCATCACGGCCGCCCCCACGTTCCCAGGGAGATCGGCTTCACCAGCCGGGCACAGCCAGCGAGTGCCGGCCAGCACGGGGCATCTGGGACTAGCCAGAGGGGGACCCCCAGGGTCAGCCCAGGTCACCCTGCTCCCCAGCCCCTCTGTCCAGCTGGAGCTGCCAGAAAAGAGGGGCCCCACCCAGGGCCAGCCCCTTGGGGGCCGTGCTGGGGACCCTGCGGGTGGCCCCGGGCTCTGGGGCAGAGCCCAGGAAGGCAGCTGTGAGCTGCGGCCTGACCCAGCCCCTCTCCAGCTCTGCCCTGGGGAGCCCCCAGGGGTCCGGCTCCAGGACAAGCGCGGCCTTGTTCCCAGCCGCCCCCAGCCCGTCTCCCCGGCATCAATGGGGCCCTTCTCCGCGGCCCCTGACATTTGGCGCTGGCAGCCGCAGCCGGCAGGAATGTGGGGGGTGGCAGGGCCTGGGGGCAGCTCTCGGCCCTGCTGCCGCGGCTCCCAGCTCCTCGGGGTGCTGAGGGGAGCAGGCTACACAGCCCCCACCCAGCCCCAAGGCCCTGACCCCCGCATGGCCCCCCTGCACTAGGGTGAATGGCAAACTGGGCCCTGCCTGCAGCTCCAGCCCCTCCGGGAGGGCAGTCTGTGCAGACGCAGCCGGGGGGGGGGGTCCCTGAGCCCGGGGAGGGGCTCTCCACGCCAGGCAGCCCCCGGAGTGCCAGGAGCTGGTAGAGCAAGGGGGGCGCCGGGCCCGGCCTGACCCACATAGCCCCCCGGCACCAGGACAAAGGGCCGGCACGCAGGGCAGGGGCTCCCCACAGCCCCCCACAGCCTGCCCCCACCCTGGCTGGGAGCTGCCAGGCTGCGCAGAGCACTCAGCCCCCCCTGGAGCCGTTCACAACCCCCCGCCCCCCGGCGCGGCCCCACCTGGAACACCTCCTCGTCCAGCAGCCGGGTCCCCAGCAGGGTGACGCCTGCGGTGCTGACGACGGGCCGGGGCCCACGCTCCAGAGGCAGCGTCACGGGTGCCTCGCAATCCACCAGCAGCGACACGTTGGTGCCCTCCACGCTCAGCGCCACGCGGTGCCACCTGCGGGGGGCATCAGCGTCACAGGGACAGGCTGGGAGCCCGGACGCCTGGGTTCTCTCCCTGGCTCTGGGAGGGGAGTGGGGGCTGGGAGCCCGGACGCCTGGGTTCTCTCCCGGCTCTGGGAGGGGAGTGGGGGCTGGGAGCCCGGATGCCTGGGTTCTCTCCCGGCTCTGGGAGGGTAGTGGGGGCTGGTGGGTTAAAGCAGGGGGGTTGGGAGCCCGGACACCTGGGTTCTCTCCCCAGCTCTACCCTGAGTCGCTCAGAGACCATGTGGCTGGTCGCCCCCAGCTGGCAGCAGGGACAGCGGGCGTCCCTCCCAGCCGCGCCCGTCTCTCCAGCTCGCCCGGACCTGTCCCCACGCCCTGCCCAGCCCCGGTCCCGGCACTCACTTGCCATCGGCCAGGCTGACCCTGCTGAAGAGCGGGTATCTCTCTGGCGCCGGCTGCCCGGCCTGGTCCTCGTAAAGGAAGACGGGCGAGCGGCCGATCTCCACGCCCAGCTGCTGCACCCCGCGCTCGTCGTACAGCGACAGCAGGAAGGCCTGGCTGCCCCGCCGGGCCCGCAGCGTCGCCAGGATGGAGAAATCCTCGGGGAAGGGGCCATCTGGGGTGGAGACGAGGCGTCGGGCTGAGCCCCATGCCCAGCGCCCCCCTGAACCCAGAACCTCCCTGCCTGGAGCCTCCCCACAACCAGCACGCCCAGGCCTATGTCCGCCCCACAGAACAGCCCCGCACCCCCTCTGCCCCACAGCCAGCACCGCTCAGCCCCACCCCACAGCCCCAGTGCCCCTCAGCCCCTCTGCCCACAGCCAGCGCCCCTCAGCCCGCCCCACAGCCCCTCTGCCCCGCCCCACAGCCCCTCTGCCCACAGCCAACACCCCTCAGCCCCGCCTCACAGCCCCTCTGCCCACAGCCAACGCCCCTCAGCCCCTCTGCCCACAGCCAGTGCCCCTCAGCCCTCTGCCCACCCACAGCCCAGTTCCCGCCCACAGCCCTCTGCCACAGCCAGCGCCCTCAGCCCTCTGCCCACCACAGCCCAGCGCCCTCAGCCCGACCACAGCCCTCTGCCACAGCCAACACCCTCAGCCTGACCACAGCCCTCTGCTCACAGCCAGCGCCCTCAGCCCGCCCACAGCCCTCTGCCACTGCCCGCCTGCAGCCCAGCCCCGCCTACAGCCCTCAGCCCGGCCAACACGCCC